GATCTCTCCAGCTGTCACCTGGAGACTGGCAACAGCTTGTCTGGAGTGTGGGCAGCATGGCATTGTATCTGTCTGAGGTCCCCCTCTTCCTCCTCCTCCTCAGATCCCACCCTCAGCAGGCTTCATCCCTAAAATATCCTGGAAGTTTCCAACCTGGAGTTGGCAACCCTATGTCCTGGAGTTCGAACCTGGAGTTGGCAACCATCAGCCAACGTTTATCTGCCTGTCTGTCTTTACAACCCCCCCCCCACACACACACACACCGCCTCTGCCTAGGGGGCAGCTGACATCATTCTCCTCTCCCAACTGAAAATTCCAACTGCCTTGGGGGGGTGAGTTTGAGGTGTGGAATGGAGTGTAGTCCAATCAGCTTCCATATGTAAATGACCTTGGAACGCTGGCCGGGACTGCACAAAGCAGCCAATGAACCCAGCCAGTGTCTTCCGAGTGGCAGTTTTTTCGGCCTAACACTAAAGGGGCCAATTTTAGAATTCTGGCACCCAAAACTCTTTTATAATAAAGGAGAGATTATGTTATATAATCCCTCTTTTCCTTTTTGAGCCGGTGAGTGAGTTCTTAGTCTCTTGCACCCTCCTGTGGCCACCTCAAGCTTTTCGTTTTGCAGCCACATAAATTCTTCCACCATCACTTGTCTCAACCACCAAGCTGAACTGGAGACAATACTGAGGGGTCGCCCGGGTGGTCTGCAGTGAACACTCCCTGCATGTCCGCAACACCTCTCGGTATAGCGCTGGGTTGATTTGGGGGTACTGTGGAGGTTGAGCTGGCATCATGGGATCCTGCAAAGTAGGGAGCAATTTCCTCTTCTTCCTCTGCCCTAGCACTGGGTCTTTGCACTCTTCTCTCCCTTTCCCTAGCCTGTGTTCCCGAGCTGGGACTCGGAGGGGCCTTCTGGCTTGCTCCGACTGGGAGTTGGGCTTGGGGAGGAGCCTCGGGTCTCCTTCATCAGCCGAAAACTGATAGTACGTCTAAGGAGTCTTGCTTGGAGCAGGATGCAATCAGAGGAATGCTTTCCATGGCTTCAGAGGAGAGGATTAGCAGAACAACGGGTAGGGGAAGGAAAAAGGAGAGCGCCCCTGAACAAGCCCACAGTCCTATTTTAAGCAGGAAAGGATTCTCCGCTCCCGTTGGAAACAGGCAATCACGTTCTAACTCCTGCATTACCAATGCTGATTTCTCCAGGCCTACTACCTCTCTGCATGTCACACCTAATCCAATCATAACTGATATTGTTATTTGCCTGCTAATGTCTTTTGGCATCTGAAATCACTCCACTTTCCAATGTATAGGACAGATGGACTCACATTCTAGATGTATCTGAAGAAGTGAGGGTGACTCTCAAAAGCTCATACCCTACCACAAATTTTGTTAGTCTTTAAGGTACTACTGGACTCTTGCTCTTTTCTCCTGCCTCCTTTGACTGATTACCCATGTTCAGATGCCTTCCCCCTTCACAGGAAGCAGCGACTCAATTTGTGAACACAAAGGGAGAAAATGGGTAGCCTGTGGGCAAGTTATGAAAAATTTGTTTTCGTTTTGAGATGAGCCTTGCCACACAAACATGCCAGCGATTCCCATGAAAATAAACCAAACTCTTCCCTCTGCAAAGAACCCGCATTTTGATAAATGAGCTTTAAGGAGAATTTTCGAAAAGGTTAAGTAAATGACAACCCTACCAGGAGTTCCATGGAACGAAATGGGATTAACTCCCCAGCAAGTAGCCATAGTTACCAAATACTTGATTCACTTCGATCTCAGACCTAACTAGAGGTCCAGTATTAAGGAAAGGAACAAGAGCGATGAAGTTCTATTGAGGCCAATCAGTCAACGGTGTTTTCATATTTTGTCTGTTCGTGTTTTATATTCCCCTTCCCCCCAAATACTGGAGAACTAGCAAGTCTTTCTTAGTCTAGCGCCAAGTCTCTACAAACATACGAACTCGAAAGATCAACACACAGTCAGGTAATCAGCCGACTCTGCGGCTGCTCCCCGTGACCCAGCGAAGCAGCAGAAGCCGGTCTTTGCCTCGGCGTCCACAAACTCTGCAAGGCGTCGGCCCAGGCCAAGCCCGGCCACCACCGCCTCGCCAGGGGGCAGCGGCAGTCTTTCCCCGTCGTCCTCGCAGTATTTACCTCCTGTCCATTGTATCTGGCCAGCTCGGTCTCGGTGAAGAGTCTCACGGGTTTCTGCCGGGGCACAGGCTTGAAACGCAGCTCCTGCTCAGCCCGCGCCTCTTGGGAGCTCAGCAGGACCAGCGCTAGGATAGCAAGAGCCCGTCTGAAGCGGTCGGCCATGGCGAGGCGGACGGAGAGCTGCAGTGTCCTGTGGGGCGTGAGCAAAAGAGGCCGGGAAGGGGCTGGGAGTAGAGACGCTACCCCATGACTTTCCCCTCCTCTTCCATTTTACACGCTCCCTCTCCCTGGCCCGCAGCGCCTAAGCTCACCCCTCCTCCCCCAGAGGCCCTCTCGCTCTTTTTTTACGCTTCCCTACCCACACGTTGGGGAAGGGTCGGAGCGGAAGACTCCCGGAAGTCCTGCTCTCCGTTTTACAAGCCATTCCATGGCATTCCAGACACGTGGACATTATAGGTTGTGTTTGTCCAGTGGCACTTTGCGCATGTTCCAGAATACTTTGTAATTCTATGAGGGTTGTTCTTAACATTGAGAAGAAGTTCTAGAACTACACTGGGGCACGTACTCAGCCTAGAGTCTAATCTCTCCCACTAATTCCATGATTAATGCGTTACAACATTCACAGAGGAAAATATTAAAATATATCTTAAAGGGTGTGGCAGTGGGTCAGCAGGTGAATTTCAAGAGGCCTAAGAGTATGAATGTTTGAAATGTTAATCTGCATACTTTTCAAAAGTGCTTTTCATACTTTGGTGTCATGCATTTGTGTATTTTGATTGTCATATGAGATCCCCATATGATGCTTCTCATACTAAAACCATGAAAATGTTGATCGGTAGTACATACTAGGACACAGTCCCCACTGCTGACCCATGCTTCATAAGCATGACAGCAGCATCTAATCCCAAATAAGTACAGATGGTAAACTCCAGTATTTCAAGGCAAAGTACCAGAGAATGTCTGGAGATAGGTTAAGCAGATGGCATGGCTGAGAATCCATCAGTGTCTGCATACAGATCTCTCATGTTAGATCTGGGCAAAACAAACAAACTCCCCAAACCCTTTATTTGACGAACCTACCAAAGAGCATTACTTGCAGCCCCATGATTAGGAAACAACCTCCCCAGAGAGCTGCACCTGGCTCCCTCACTGTCGATGTCAGGATGCAATTGAAGACAGTTTTATTTAGGACTCAGTTTAGCTGATTTAGTTTTTATTCATTAGCAGTCCTAATTGGAGTTGTTAAAAAACCTGTTATGTGTTTTTAAAATTGTTGTTTCAGTCATGTTATTTTTATAATGATTTTATTGATATTGTAAGCCACCTTGAGTTCCACAAGAGAGAAAGGCGGCTCATAAATGTCTTAAATAAATACATATTTCAAGGTCTGACTGCACTGAATGATGACAGCCGTTCTGGAATCAGACGATCTAAGACACTTTGGTAACTGAGGCAGGAAGGTCAAATGTCCCCCTCACCCTTAGTGGTAAAAATATGATAATGCATTGACTAATTGACATTTGCTGCCCTAGACTAGTACCCCCCTCCCCAGCTGCTGCTGAAGGCAGACCACATCTAGCAACAAGCACCTTTGTCTGTGCTTTACCTCAGTGGTCTTCTGCCTTTCCAAACCTAGGAATCCCTGCACACTGGACTCACTGAGCTCCTAACCTGTGGTAGAAAGTTACCTGACATAGGCTTGCCAGCCTCCGGGTCTGAAGATCTCCTGAAGTTACAACTAATATCCAGGCAACAGAGATCAGTTCCCTTGGCAAAAATGGCTATTTTGGAAGGAGGACTCTATGGCATTATACATTCACTGCTGAGGTCCATCCCATCACCAAACCCTGTAAGAATAATGGCAACTCTGTAGGGATTGACCCAGCAGATGTGGCTCCACAATCCACCTGAGGGTCCCCAACCCATGGGTTGAAGACCATTGCTCCACCCCACATAGTTCTGGTGAAAGAGACGATGGAAATCTCTTCTTGTCATTGGATTATCATATTTTTACTCGCTACTTTATTTGCCAGTTTGGTGTAGTGGTTAAGTGTGCGGACTCTAATCTGGGAGAATGGGGTTTGATTCCCGACTCCTCCACTTGCACCTGCTGATGTGACCTTGGGTCAGTCGCAAGCTCTGGCACAGCTGTCCTTGAAAAAGAGCAGTTTGTGTCAGAGTTCTCTCAGCCCCACCCCCCTCACAGGGTGTCTGTTGTGGGGAGGGGAAGGGATAGGAGTTTGTAAGCCGCTCTGAGACACCTTTGGGTAGTGAAGGGTAGGGTATAAATCCAATCTCTTCTTCTTCTTCAAGAGAACATCAAAATTCCGATCCCTTGGCCACCTCAAACAAAGTTCGGTCAACAGTTTGTTCAGATCTCCTTTGTTCCACAAATGGTTAAATTTTGTAACCAGCCATGAGTCTCAGAGCAAGCAAGCACAAGGTAGAGTATCCAGCAATTTGGATCCAGAAGAATATTGTTATAACATTAATGACACCAAACCAAAGAATTTTCTTTGTATTTTTCATATGTCCCTGTGTGTATATGTGCGCACACTTGGACATCATGGTGACCTGTGGTGACTGACCTCCACTGGGGGCCTGGAGGATATTCAGAGAGGTGGCTGAATAAAGCCTGTCCCCGCCACCCGGCATTTCAAGGAGGTCTCCCATCCAAGTGCTTCCCAGAGTTGACCCTGCTTAGCTTCCAAGATCTGATGAGATCGGGCTTGCCTAGGTTATCCAGGTCAGGGTTAAACCAAAGAAATCTTAATTAATCAGATGTGTTTGCAAATGAAGAATCAATTTAAACATTCCGGGATTTTGAGTTGCACTGAACTATACCAGGGACACAACAACAGGTGGCTTCTTAGAAGAGGCTGCCCTTGTGTAACATAGAAGGAGCACCTCTTCTAGTACTAAACCAACACTTGCAAATTTCCTAAGTCTTATCATCATCATCATCATTTAAAATGGGAACAACTTTTACTTTTTATACTAACCAGGGGTCATTTCGTAGAAAAAGAGCTAGGGGGACTCATTAGCATAACTCATTAGCATATGCCACACCCCCTGACATCACCGGAAGTGTGTCCTCCCCACAGCCAGCGGCGACCTCCAGCGGGCACCAGCAGGGAGCTCCAGGCCCCGCCCTCCCGTACCTCACCTGGGGGGATGGCGTCCCCCGCGTCCCCCCCAAATGACCCCTGATACTAACAAAAGGTTTTAATCATTCTAGTCACAAACTGACTAAATATTTTAACCCTAATTTTTAATGTATTCTTTAATCACTGTACATTTTTAATTAGTAGAAAAGAGTAATTTGTGGTAGTCTTTAAGGTGCTGCTGGACTCTTACTCTTTTCCATTGCTACAGACAGACTAACACAGCTATCAGCAGGAACTCATTAGCATAATAGGCCACACCCAACAGCAGGAACTAATTAGCATATTAGGCCACACCCTGACGGCACAGCTCATTAGCATATTAGGCCACATGCCATGCCTTTCCTTGGCTTGCCCAGGCCCCTGCAGCTGCAGGAAGCCTTGGCAAGCCCACCACCTCCTTGAGTTTAAACTGCCTTCCCTTGGTTTCCGGGGACAGGCCCGGAAGGCTTCCCCCATCCTTCCAGGACCCCCTGCCCCGCCGGCCTCGGAGTTGGGGGGGAGGGTTTGCTTTCCAGGCTTTCCCCCTGTAGCCATGCAGGCAGAGGTTTTGGCTGTAGTGGGCGTGTCCAACTCTGAAGCCTCCGTTCCTGTGGGTTCCTGCCCAAAAATAGCCCTGACAGCTACCCATTTTTAATTGGAAAGCTTACACTATTTTGATTGTCTGTGCTGCATGCTACAGTGGCTTTACTAAGTTTCCGTTCGGGAAACTAGTTTATCAGTAGCCTCCAGTCTGGTAAACTACATTTCCCAGCGTGCGCTTCTCTTTCACCCCGCTTGTTCGTATGCAGTGTAACCGATGATTGAGGCTGAAACGGAGTGGGTTAGCGGTATCTTGGGCCGGGGAGGGGGGAGCTTTGTGCGCTTGCGCTGTACTTTCTTAGCCACCCGTTCTGATAACATCAACCTTTTATGAACGCCGGTATGCGGAGCTTCCGCGCCTCCTTCGCTGACTGACTTCTGTTTAGCCCGCAACTGTGGCACGAGCCCTTCACTTCTTTGGCTGCTACGTCCAGCTCCTTTCCTCCCATTTTCTTCGCAGATGCCATGATTAGGCAAGAAGTCTCGACGTCGTACGAGGAGGTACTGGGAGAGCGCGCGGGGGAGGCGGGAGGCAAAGTTATTTGAGCCGAAGCGGTCGCGAAGCAAGTGTTCTTATGACACTGCGCGAGGTATTAAGCATCCTCGCGCTCGTTTTATTGCTTGCCGAGCAAGTTTATCGAAAAGTGCTGGGCGGCTGTGACTTCACTTTCAAGCCGGACACTTGCGCGCCCCCCGCTAGCAACCAAAAACAAAATGCTGTTGGTGACAAAAGCAGTATGTAGAGGAAGGCTGCGATCCTATGCACATTTACTTGGCAATGAGGAATCTTCTGCGATCCTCGGACGGTCTGAATAGGAGTTTGTGCCCTCCTCCCCCTCAAGTATGCAGGCATTTTTCTAAAGTGGTTACAATTCTGAAAGGGAAGCACAAAAACTTCGCAAAATACGCAATAACGTTTCAGTTGACTCTTCAAACAGACAATTAATAATGAAAACAGATAAACCTAGCGTTCCCTTAGAAACTCATCACTGCGATGGAGTATCTGATTCTTCCCAGTTTACACGGTCTCGTTTTCGTCCCTCCTCCCTGCTGCCCCATTCCCTTCTTTAAAGAGCTCTCCTTCACACCACAGAATATTGATCTGGTCGCCCGTTTAATTTCAGTACAGCTGTTAATGTACATGATGGTTCTGATTCTGTTGCCCTGGGTAATTTCTTTTTTAATGCCCGGTGCATGCTGCAGTTTCTCACAGGAGTTGCTCTTGAGATTGTTGCTTGCCTGTATGGTGGGACTGGGAACTTGCCCTGAAACTCTCTGGGTCACACTGGGTGGGCCTCAATTCAACTGATTTTACAGAGCTGCTGTGGAGGAAAAGACCACCACCTGTGCTTCTTAAAGGAAGAGTGGGATAAAAACACATTAAATACATACATTTCTTTGTTCATATGACTAATCAAATAGAAAAGGGAAAAAACTGAGGTGAGGAAGGCTTGTGATGGAAGCAAAATCTTGCTGATAACTTTTTTAAACACTATGCTTAGAAAACTCAGAACAGTGAGTATATAGTTGTATGTGCTTGGTGCAGGGACTTTATGAGATTGATTGTAGCGATATGTTATCACAATGTTAGGGTTTTGTTGCACCAAATTTCCATATCAAGTGTACCAGCTACTGGAACTAATCTTATCTTTTCTTCTCCTTGAGAGCTGCAGCGAGACTATTCACTTGCATTCAAAAGCTTGCTGCCACCTTTATATTGGCTCTGGGAACACTGACAAGTTTGTTAGTTTGTAATCCAGGATAATAGTACTCATGTTCATTAATGCAGCTTCTGTTTTCATGTTCATCAGTGAAGATTAGTGACAGAATGCTTCGTGTTTTCAGAGTGATTCACATAGACTTTCAGGACATTCCATAGGGGACCTCAAAGTAGCTGTTTGATTGCAAAGGAATTTCAGAAACAGACTAGAACAAGAAAGAAGACCCGCGAAACTCGCGGGGGGGTGGGGGAGCTCAAAACTCAGCAGGCGGAGGAGGAACCAGCAGGAGCAGGTAAGCTTTCCCCCCCATCCTGCCAGCTCCTCCGTCTCCCCCCCCCCACCCTC